AACCTATTTTCTGAAATTTCACGTGCAAAATACAAATTTGAATATACTCTGAAGAGACAGCAGTAAGCCCGGTTAGCTCAGTCGGTAGAGCACCAGACTCTTAATCTGGCTGTCGCGGGTTCGAGCCCCGCATCGGGGTTCACTTTTGCTGTTGGTTGATCCCTCTAGGGTAACCCTCAGTGTCGGCACATGCCAGCCGTTTTCCCAACGACAGCCTATTTTCTGCAATTTCAGGTGCAAAATACAAATTTGAATTTACTCTGAAGAGACAGCAGTAAGCCCGGTTAGCTCAGTCGGTAGAGCACCAGACTCTTAATCTGGCTGTCGCGGGTTTGAGCCCCGCATCGGGCTTCACTTTTGCTGTTGGTTGATCCCTCTAGGGTAACCCTCAGTGTCGGCACATGCCAGCCGTTTTCCCACCGACAGCCTATTTTCTGAAATTTCACGTGCAAAATACAAATTTGAATATACTCTGAAGAGACAGCAGTAAGCCCGGTTAGCTCAGTCGGTAGAGCACCAGACTCTTAATCTGGCTGTCGCGGGTTCGAGCCCCGCATCGGGCTTCACTTTTGCTGTTGGTTGATCCCTCTAGGGTAACCCTCAGTGTCGGCACATGCCAGCCGTTTTCCCACCGACAGCCTATTTTCTGCAATTTCAGGTGCAAAATACAAATTTGAATTTACTCTGAAGAGACAGCAGTAAGCCCGGTTAGCTCAGTCGGTAGAGCACCAGACTCTTAATCTGGCTGTCGCGGGTTCGAGCCCCGCATCGGGCTTCACTTTTGCTGTTGGTTGATCCCTCTAGGGTAACCCTCAGTGTCGGCACATGCCAGCCGTTTTCCCACCAACAACCTATTTTCTGAAATTTCACGTGCAAAATACAAATTTGAATATACTCTGAAGAGACAGCAGTAAGCCCGGTTAGCTCAGTCGGTAGAGCACCAGACTCTTAATCTGGCTGTCGCGGGTTCGAGCCCCGCATCGGGGTTCACTTTTGCTGTTGGTTGATCCCTCTAGGGTAACCCTCAGTGTCAGCACATGCCAGCCGTTTTCCCACCGACAACCTATTTTCTGCAATTTCAGGTGCAAAATACAAATTTGAATTTACTCTGAAGAGACAGCAGTAAGCCCGGTTAGCTCAGTCGGTAGAGCACCAGACTCTTAATCTGGCTGTCGCGGGTTTGAGCCCCGCATCGGGCTTCACTTTTGCTGTTGGTTGATCCCTCTAGGGTAACCCTCAGTGTCGGCACATGCCAGCCGTTTTCCCACCGACAGCCTATTTTCTGAAATTTCACGTGCAAAATACAAATTTGAATATACTCTGAAGAGACAGCAGTAAGCCCGGTTAGCTCAGTCGGTAGAGCACCAGACTCTTAATCTGGCTGTCGCGGGTTCGAGCCCCGCATCGGGCTTCACTTTTGCTGTTGGTTGATCCCTTTAGGGTAACCCTCAGTGTCGCCACATGCCAGCCGTTTTCCCACCAACAACCTATTTTCTGAAATTTCACGTGCAAAATACAAATTTGAATATACTCTGAAGAGACAGCAGTAAGCCCGGTTAGCTCAGTCGGTAGAGCACCAGACTCTTAATCTGGCTGTCGCGGGTTCGAGCCCCGCATCGGGCTTCACTTTTGCTGTTGGTTGATCCCTCTAGGGTAACCCTCAGTGTCGGCACATGCCAGCCGTTTTCCCACCGACAGCCTATTTTCTGCAATTTCAGGTGCAAAATACAAATTTGAATTTACTCTGAAGAGACAGCAGTAAGCCCGGTTAGCTCAGTCGGTAGAGCACCAGACTCTTAATCTGGCTGTCGCGGGTTCGAGCCCCGCATCGGGCTTCACTTTTGCTGTTGGTTGATCCCTCTAGGGTAACCCTCAGTGTCGGCACATGCCAGCCGTTTTCCCACCAACAACCTATTTTCTGAAATTTCACGTGCAAAATACAAATTTGAATATACTCTGAAGAGACAGCAGTAAGCCCGGTTAGCTCAGTCGGTAGAGCACCAGACTCTTAATCTGGCTGTCGCGGGTTCGAGCCCCGCATCGGGGTTCACTTTTGCTGTTGGTTGATCCCTCTAGGGTAACCCTCAGTGTCAGCACATGCCAGCCGTTTTCCCACCGACAACCTATTTTCTGCAATTTCAGGTGCAAAATACAAATTTGAATTTACTCTGAAGAGACAGCAGTAAGCCCGGTTAGCTCAGTCGGTAGAGCACCAGACTCTTAATCTGGCTGTCGCGGGTTCGAGCCCCGCATCGGGCTTCACTTTTGCTGTTGGTTGATCCCTTTAGGGTAACCCTCAGTGTCGCCACATGCCAGCCGTTTTCCCACCAACAACCTATTTTCTGAAATTTCACGTGCAGAATACAAATTTGAATATACTCTGAAGAGACAGCAGTAAGCCCGGTTAGCTCAGTCGGTAGAGCACCAGACTCTTAATCTGGCTGTCGCGGGTTCGAGCCCCGCATCGGGCTTCACTTTTGCTGTTGGTTGATCCCTCTAGGGTAACCCTCAGTGTCGGCACATGCCAGCCGTTTTCCCACCGACAACCTATTTTCTGCAATTTCAGGTGCAAAATACAAATTTGAATTTACTCTGAAGAGACAGCAGTAAGCCCGGTTAGCTCAGTCGGTAGAGCACCAGACTCTTAATCTGGCTGTCGCGGGTTCGAGCCCCGCATCGGGCTTCACTTTTGCTGTTGGTTGATCCCTTTAGGGTAACCCTCAGTGTCGCCACATGCCAGCCGTTTTCCCACCGACAACCTATTTTCTGCAATTTCAGGTGCAAAATACAAATTTGAATTTACTCTGAAGAGACAGCAGTAAGCCCGGTTAGCTCAGTCGGTAGAGCACCAGACTCTTAATCTGGCTGTCGCGGGTTCGAGCCCCGCATCGGGCTTCACTTTTGCTGTTGGTTGATCCCTTTAGGGTAACCCTCAGTGTCGCCACATGCCAGCCGTTTTCCCACCAACAACCTATTTTCTGAAATTTCACGTGCAGAATACAAATTTGAATATACTCTGAAGAGACAGCAGTAAGCCCGGTTAGCTCAGTCGGTAGAGCACCAGACTCTTAATCTGGCTGTCGCGGGTTCGAGCCCCGCATCGGGCTTCACTTTTGCTGTTGGTTGATCCCTCTAGGGTAACCCTCAGTGTCGGCACATGCCAGCCGTTTTCCCATCGACAACCTATTTTCTGCAATTTCAGGTGCAAAATACAAATTTGAATTTACTCTGAAGAGACAGCAGTAAGTCCGGTTAGCTCAGTCGGTAGAGCACCAGACTCTTAATCTGGCTGTCGCGGGTTCGAGCCCCGCATCGGGCTTCACTTTTGCTGTTGGTTGATCCCTTTAGGGTAACCCTCAGTGTCGGCACATGCCAGCCGTTTTCCCACCAACAACCTATTTTCTGAAATTTCACGTGCAAAATACAAATTTGAATATACTCTGAAGAGGCAGCAGTAAGCCCGGTTAGCTCAGTCTCTGAAGTTCTACTTTGAAATCCTCAAGTATTCAAGAAACCCTGGTGTTACAACTTTTTATTCGTTTTCCAAGCTCACGCTGGTGCGCGCTGGACGCATCAACCGGCTATTCCGAAATTATAAACATTGTCAGTTTTCAATGTTTTATTATTTATTTAGTTGGTTTTGTCTTTGTGTTCTGTTCCACTTCTTTTTTTATGGTTCATAAGCGCGTCATAAGGATGTCGCATTTTTGTTGCGAAGTCAAAGGGACTTGAAAACAAATCAAGGCCATCTTGTGCCGGTCCCTGTCTGCGTAGATGCTTCTTTTGAGTTTTTCATATCTTCAGAAGTTCCACTCTCACTTCAAATCTGATGGAACTTACGCTCTGTTATTTACGATCTCGGAGGTTGTACTATAATAGACAGGGCCCTGTGCGCGTTAGTTTGGAGCATTTCGGAAAACGAAGTCCCATGTGACTTCGCGAAATTTCATGAAGTTTTCTCTGACGTCAAAATCTGGGAAAATTTTGTTGAACCAACACAGCAATACGAAGCAGAAAGGTTATACCCTTTGATTTATCGGTAGTGGCTTGTGGAAGGTGGGACAGCTCGCGAGAGAGGCGTAAACTGCCTCTCACAAAAGTACTCTTTGATCATTCCTTAGGCTTAATTAGGCCACTCCCAATTAGTCAAAGGATATCCTGAGGTCGTTAATACAACAAAAAATGAAAAAACCCCCCTACGTCTACTGTTTACTGCTGTAATACTCTAAGGTATTTGGCCCAAAGCTCTGTTGGTGTTCAGTGTGTCGAAAATCTTCTAGGCCAATATTCAACCAAATCTGTGGCGTACAACAACAATTTGGCGATGCAATTATCATTGCAATTTCAATGTTGAGACATGCATGTTTGGAGCGCCTTATCTATCAATGCATAGTTTATGCTCTTTTTGGATCAAAAAGAGATGGAATTTCGAGCGTTCTAACCGTTAAAATTGAAAAGGTCCGAAACATATGTATACTTTTCAATATTTATGCTCCGAACCAACCCGATTGGTCAGATGTTGATCTGAAACCAACAAATTTGAGGACTGATATTAAGACTCATGAGTTTTTGAAACTTTTACAGAATGTGATTTGGAGTAACACTGTGTACACATGGTCCAAATTTGGTGTCATGTGATTGTTTGTACCTGTGAACAAGCTATTTGTTTTTCTGAATAATGCATTTGAAGTTCGCGCCCTTGCGAAGGAACAGGTACAACCCGCAAAACCTTGCATATTTGCCGATTTTTTTGGCTCTCCGTTCAGGACCTATAAAAGCGATATTCCCTTTGCTTTTAACCCCAAAAACGAAGTCTCGTTTGACCCCAGAGCATCTGTGCTGGGCACGATAGTAGATCAGGTAAGGTTACGATGAACTGTTGTTTTAAACTGTCATTATGTTTGCGCAGTTGCAATTATTCTCTTTATTCAACTAATTATTATGAAGTAAATAAATAAACCTTACATAAATATATTATATATATATAAATTATTGAGATATGCCTAGTGAAGATCATATATAAAATAAGAAAACAGCGAAAAGATATTAATAGTCTGAATACCTATAATCTAAAAGACAATGTAATTTTCGTTTATTGGAATGGGCAGGCATCCACTGCTACTTTGTTACTTTTCTGAGCGCTCTCGAAATACTTGGGATGCCCAGCCAGCTTTAGGTCCTTATAGCATCCGACCAGCGAAGTCATCAGCAATTTTTCCGCTACAGGTGCTGAAACGGTTGATAATGTTAGCAAAGAACTATAGTCTCTATTTCCGTTTGATGCGAACCTGACACTCCAGCAATATTCAAAGGTAAGTTGAGTAGCAGATCTCGAGCTTCTGGAGACATGTGATCTACTGGAAGTTCGTTACGCTCCTGCAAAAATTTAGTTACCCTCTTGAGAGAATACTTGGAAAGTGATCGTAGCAGGTTTACCCCGTCAATCTTGATTTCCATCATTTTCTCTCCCACAAAGAGATGCAAGGTATGCCAATCTCCATCACATAGTGGACGACGAACTGGTATAGCATCTCGTATTTCCAGTCCGCTGGCTTTGTGGATTATGGTAACCATCACCTGGAAGGCGACGTTCTGGTGCGCAACAAAATACAAAGAAGTGGCCACCGTACCTTATCATGCTTGATCTCGATAGTAAGACGTGCCCTCTCGGGGTTACTGTTGGTCACAAGGGCCACTACCGTACCCTCGTCTACGATTGGTCGGAAACTCAACGAGATGTCGATGTTTCGAGAGCCGTCTTTGATATGTTTGTAGAGTCCATCTGTGACGCTATGTATTCAAGAGCATAAAAGTGTTTGTGTGCTTTAATTTACCAAAAACTGCAAATCCCCCTTCGTGGGCGTACATTCCTTTAGTGGGACGAGCACATGGGATGATGTCACGGGATGATTCGCCTTCCAAGCTTTGCACGACATTATTCACCTATAAAATTTTTTGATTTTTCTGAATTTTTCATTCCTTTCAAATTTTTGACCTCAGAATGAACAAGTTATTACCTTGAAATCTCTAATACATCCATCGTATCCAGGAGTCTGTAGGTTGAAAGTGGAACGATGCTTGGATATAACGCCTCCGATATACATTCGCCTTCGCATAACTTTCGGTGTTGGGCAATCGTTGATAGAGGCTGGCAGCAACTCGTCCACCTGAGAGAAAAATTTTCCTGGGATACTGGTTTCATGCTGTCGATTTTCGGTCTTACCATCAGTATCAGTTCCTTTTCCTTTTTGATGATGACTATATCATGCCAATGTCCATCGTCTAGCTTGCGTTCTTTACATTCAAGAATCTTCGGTTCTGGATTTCTCCCTTTCACCTACAAAGTGATCTCAATGGTTCCATCTGTGCGTGGTAATTAATACCTCGATAGTAGCGAATCCATCAATCAGGTTGAGATAGAAGTATCGAGTGAAATTTTTGTAGTTTGCCCAAACCCATATCATTCCAGTAGGTTGTTCGGTTCGCATAGAGAACGAGATTTGGAAACTAAAGTATAAAAATTCATATTTAGCAGGTCCACCTAGCCAGCATACAGACAACGTTCAGTCAAATCTAGGAAACTGAGTTCTCAATCTGGAATGCTAGGACGCCAACGAGGCCTTAGTGCGAATGATAGCTCATAAGATTCATTTAAGGTCGAAAAATGCCTAAACTCCAACCCAGACCACACTCTCTACAGTACAAATGTTGAATGGTTTCCGCTTGAAACGATTTCGGTCTGGGTGGAGTTTAGAATCAAAATATGGATAGTCCTTGGTCAGTGGTGACTAGGCTCCCGTTCGGCATCCACATTCAAACCTTAGACTTGCCTGGCTGCTGTACACAAACAATATTTCTGTAGCTTACTCGGATATATTTGGATACTGTTTTCCTTCAAAATTCACGCGACTATGTGAACTTTTTGATATTCCAAATCTCACTGCATCGCTAGACCTTGATGAGTCCCCAAGGTTTGTGGCATCTCGAATGGCCGAATTGAAACCACCACCACACTGAACGAATAAGATTTTCAAATTAAATTTGGATCTTCATACGAAAGCTGCTCACAGTTGTCATGGATACGTCTTTTGATGGCTTTTCATCCATTGGAGCAACTAGTTTTTCAGCATCTAAAGCAATTTGGATGAGATTTTGAAAGGTTGAGTTTAACAAGCATGCTGGAACTGAAAGACACAAAACAAAACAGTGCTGGTGTCGATTCCCTAAGCGTTGCCTCCTTTTCCATCTCTCAAGCCTCTTTAGGAGCATAGTCAGTTACACCCCTCCCTTTTTTCAATTCCTGGCGAGATAATCGACACTAACACAGTCATTCTACATGCATACTTCAATGGGCAAATTCATGCAGTTGTGTAAGTGGTGTAAGTGGCAACACTTGTGACATAAATAATGATGTAAGTATAACCGCACATGCATGCACACAAAGATAAAGATTACGGTATTAGCACATGCGCCATAGGCCAGACTACACACACACACTGTACCGTGATAAGTTGGTTCCATTTGATGATTCAATCGTGAATCTTTGCGATGCCCCCCGATGCTATCCAGATCCAGCGGTTCATCTGCACAAGAAAAAAATCATTAGAAAGGAAATGAAAGGCTGATTTGCCTAAGAAGTCCTAGTTTTTCTCAAAAAATCTCCAAGGTGTGCGTTTCTGGCGGGAACATGCCACGACTGGGAATAAAGCTATTTTCAAAAAGCTACAGTGGAGAAAAGGAGAGCTTTGCAATCTGATTTGGGACTGGAGATAGCGGACAAAAGCGATTAATCGGCATTTTTCAGGGACTCTTGGAAATGCCAACTTACCGATTGGAGTGGAAAAGTTCGGTGATTCGATTGGACACGTTCCAATTTGTGCGCTATGCGCGATCGGTACGATTGGGATTTTTCTTAACATTGGAAATTTTCGTCCATGTGATCAATTTTCAAGAATCTTACTTGTAGTTATGGAACATATCAGAAACACATCCGATCAGCGGCACAGTGGTGGGAATTTCGTTATTCGGTGGTCTGGAGCGTTCAGCAAATCCTAGAAATTTTGCCCTGGGTCCCGTGTAGGAAGGTTTCTCAATGTAAGAAAAGTGTAGGATTACTGTACCTCCGATATACATTTGACTTGAGTCCGTTCCAATATCAGATTCGTCGTTGAGAGTTTGCTTCTCGCCAACTTCCTTGTCATCGACGCGAAGGCGGACACTAAAGTATTATATAGATTTTAAAATAATTTGAAATGATCGATTTTGCGCAATCCCTGATCAAATAATTAGAGTGAAATATCAGTCAAAAAAGGTTGGTGTCTTACAATTTGCCTTTTCTGCTCATGAACACCGAATGCAGCTGTCCGTCGTTATACATCTGACTCGAACGAATGGTTACTACGAGATTTCGGGACGATGCATCCTAAAAAAGACCGGCACAATTTTTAAAAGCTTTGCTACAACGGGGGTTCGTTTTCAAACTCACCTTGCCAAAGTGTAAAACGAGATAACCACGGAATAAGTAGAATGCCATGTAACCCTGTAAAAGCTTGAATATAATTGCCATTTCTTTAGAAAGACAAAAATAAAATTTCAAATCTAAGTGGAATGACTGGAATAAATATAATTCTCGTACGAACCCTCCCATCGCTTTCCGCATCTCTCTGCTTTCGGCGGAATGTAGCTAGCCTCGACGATTGGAAGATGAGTGTGCCATTCTCTTCTTTAGTGCGAAAGCCAAATCCAAATCTGGAATATTTGGATTCAAAATGCACGACGAGCGATTTATAAGCTATACCTATATAAAGTAACTTACGTCGAGTTGTTATCCATGATAACTCCTCTTTGGAGAAGATAACCAGGTCTTGAAAATCCGACAATGCGATCGGTAGGAATCAGCATGGCAGCGCTGAAATGACATCCAGGTTCGCGACGTTGCCATCTAACCGGGTGGTCCAGATTCAGTTCGGATGCCTACAAAAAATTCGGTTAGGGTCCTGATTAGGTGAAATTAGCTTTTATTGTATTCTATCAAAGTTTTCACAGTGAAGTTTTTTACATTGTCCCGTGGGCTCGCAAAAATGCTAGTAAGTCTAAGATGTCGTTGTACAATATGATTTTATCAACTCAGTCCAAAGTTAAGACATTGAGAAGCGCTTTTTTCTCAATCTTCACGTCGATTATTTTCAGCCAATAACACTAAAGAAGCCGATAAGTTGAATTTCGATGTTTTGTTGAACAAGCGGTTATGCACAGTAACCTCTGATTCAATTGGCTTGGCGGCTGGAAGGCGAGGCTTCGTAATCTAATTAAGGCCGCTCCTGCCCGCGACGCTGTTTGCGTCTCTCTCTCGCGCATGCTCTCTGACCATTATCTAGCCTTAACTAGGTCACAAAACCCCGCCTTCCCGACGCCAATCCTTGGACTAAAGGGTAACTAAAACTTTAATTGCTTTTCTTACCTGTGATGGCTTCACGCTATGTATACATCCGAAGAATCCCTTCCATTCGATATTTGCATCAAATCTATCGATCTTGAATGAGTTGGGCACTCCAGCCACATAATGCATATCCGTTTCAATGTTCAAAGCCGTATTTTCGCCAGGAATAGTTGTTGAAAAGCGATCCGCGTCGCTGTCGACCTATAATCATAAGCACTGGCTCAGCCCTACTTCAAGCCCTACTTCAAGGTTGTTTACCTACCTGAAGATGGATTTCTCCACCGCTACGTATCGCCTTTACGGTATGTTCACGTCCATCCGAGTAAGATCCCTTCGAGGTGAGCTCAGCTTGAGAGCCGTTACCAAGATTTATTTTGAACACTACGTGACCGTCCTTCAATTGTAGAATGATAAAGTCTCCAGTGGTCTCAGATCCGCGGAAGTATAGTAATCCGTTCGGTGAATAGGCGTTAAATATGACTGTCAAGGACGAAACAGTGCGCTCAAACGTTGCAAGTTCCATTACAGCAAAGCCATCGCTAAAAATTTTCTCGTCACAAAATTAGCAAAAAATGCAGTCATAATTGTGAAATAGACTTACCGGAACATGTATCCTCGTACAGTCGGCTGTGGCGGTGCCGGAGCTCCTTCGCATTCTGTAGAACTGCCTGAGAATGCCCAGAGTGGAATGGAAACCTCATCGATCGTTATTCCGCCAATAACTCCATGGAACTGAAGAAAATCGATATATCGATTGAATGACTTGATAGAGAGCCGATAGGATACTTATCGCTTGTGGTCATTTCTGCTTCAGTTCTCTATTTTCTTTTCACAAAGTGAACCTTTACAATATCCAGAACTCCTCCAAGTATATCTAGATGTGCGTATCTCAAGTCTACCGTACCTTATTCGTGGCAAGACCCATCTCGGCTGCACTTTCAGGATCCGTTCCCATCGAGATCTCTGTCTCACCCGGAATAGTATTGAACAGTACTTCACCATCGTATTCTCCGTCTCCAACGAACACGCTCACGGCATCGGTGCGCAACTTATCAGCTAAAACAACTTCTTTCAACACTTCAGACTCTCTTGATATTACCGTAATCCCTACCTGCACCAGTTACAGTCTCTTTCAGGGCTACCGTAAGATTTAGTGCGTTGCCAATGCGTTCGACATCGATATGATACCAATTCGATCGATCTGTATTTGGGATGTATAGGATTGAATGGCTGTTGGTTGCCATTTTCGCTCCTCCCCCAACATTCCAGTGGGCTACGACACGCTTATCACGGACCTACAAACGGGTTTCAATATGGAGCATGGGCTGGCTATTCGTACGAAAAAGTCTACCTCGATGGCTATGAACTCGCTAGGATGTGTACGCCTTGGTTTAGTTCTGGTGATAAAGACTGCACTATCGGGTACATTCCGAAGTGGACGATATTTGATCGAAAACGAGTTCGAGGGGGACGGATGTGCTGGTGAGGTAAATGAACGTTGGCACACACCGCGCTCATCGGATCGCAAAGACAGACGAATCTAAACTCTCGGCCTAATTTGATAGTCATAAAAATCAAAATTTCAGGGGACAATCCATACCTGTTGCGCTTTTTCGCGAGCTTCGTTGATCTTATCTTTAAGCAATGCAAGTTGTTTTTGCATCTCATCCGCGCGATTACGATTCGTGGCGCTGACTCCGCCTACTTTCATCAAAGCTGCGCGATCTTTCTCCAAGTTCAGACGTGCTTTGCGGACCTTAAGAACAAAACTAAGTCCATACTTCGGTGCTTCTAGAAATCTTACCTGTTCGATGTCTTCTCGGATTCCTTGTCCCGTACTGTTGAGCAACTTGTTCGTTTGTTCAGCAATCTCTTTCACCTGAAAACTTCTTATATTTCGTTACTCGTTGAGTTTTTATAAATTTAACCACTTTTTAAGAAAACCAATTTGTTAGTTTAGTTATGAATGCTGAGGACTGCACTTTTCATTAGACCGCATTGAAGAGACAATAAGGGAAAATGCAAGCAACTCAAAGCCCCGCCCGCTCCTGCGCCTGTCACTATTTCGTACCAAGACCTAGTTGGCGCCCACATCCATAGATATCTTAGTCTAATTTCTTTTATGCATTCGATCTCTGAGTTTTGGCTGCTTTATGTTGAATGACATGCTTGATTAATTACAGGGAAAGGCACCTAACTTAGGTCGGCCTTTTGAGAAGCGACACATATAGTTGGAATCAGCTTGAAACGCTGATTTCAAATCGACTTTCCAAAGCTGCGAAGCATTACTCTGAAGCGAGTTATGCGCTTTTTCTTGAGCAAATTTTGCGCGTTAACCGACTTAGGCATGCTATGGTATCATCGTCTAGGTAGTTGTTCAATTGCATACTATACCCTATCAAAGCCAATGACTCAATTTGATGTTATTTCGATTTTCCATCACTTTTGGGCAGATTTTTGTCTGAATGCCTTCTTTCCATATTCAGTTTCATGTCAATGACACATACTGAAAAGCTCATAATTCGCTTCAGAGGAGCACTGCGCAGCTAAGGACAGCATATTTGGAATCAGCATTCCGAGCTAATTCTAAGTATGTGTCTCATTTCAAAAGGCCGACCTAAAGTGACTTCCCTGGTTAGTATCTATTCGATTCCTCCTCTTCCCCTCTTATCTCCCTCCCCCCTCCCCCCCCCCCCCCCCCGTCTCCTCCCTCTTCTTCCAGATGTTCTCCACCTACCTCCGTAACCAAAGCTTCGGTAGCTTTTCGAGCTATTTCAGCACGTTTATCCGCGTCACGAGCCACAGACTGTAGACCAATGGTCCGATCGTGATGGTCATCAAATTTCGACCATTGGTCTGGAGAATAGATCAATAGAAGCGATCATTGACGATCAATATATAGATAAACCCACTTTTCACCACATCATTTCTCTTGATCATATCGATATTCTGTTCGTTTACATAAGCCAAACGTTCATCCAACTGCTTGCGTTCGTTCTCCATGTCAGACGTCTCCCACTGCTTTCGGATTTCACGAGCTTCTAAAGATTGCGCAGTTAATCAATACGCATTCTTTGCGTATAAACGTACCGTCTGCCAAAGCCTGACTGTTCTTTTCCGAATCAGTTACTTTTTTAACCATGGAATTTTCTGATTTTTCGTCTGCTTCGGCGTAAGCATCTTCAGCAGCTTTCTGTACACAATGTGCAAGCATAAAAACGTTTTTTTCTACAATCCTCTTACCACAGCCGTCTCCGCAGCCTTCGTAGCATTTTTCAAAGCAGATGCTATCTCCTCATAAGCTTGTGACGCCTTGAGAGGATTCTCTGCCTCTGTACGAGTTGCCGTAAAAGAATTTATTAGCAAAGCTCCAGCTCGCTCGAGTGTTCCAGCATGCTCAGCAGCATTTTGCACAAATATATCGTCATATTCGTCGATCAGTTGAGCGTACCTAGAACATAACTAGGTGGCTGGATTACCTATGCAGGAAATTAAAAATTACATCATTGAGATGTTCCGACATTCTTGGGATAGCTGTTCCGCTGTATCGAGTGTCTCATTAATGGCGCGACTGTCATCAAATAGATTCAGAAGTTCCTGAAGTATACACCGTTTCATGAAAACTGATGTTGTTCAGCGGATGTAAATTATTACTTTCTCACAAGTATCTAGAGAATCAGTGGGCAAGTTCTAAACTCTAAACTCTCCCCCAATACCATGGTATCCCGGCGGAGTGTCCTCGAGTACGGTACTGGGCGAGAGTTTAGACTTAAATTTCTCAACCACAAAGGGATCGTACAAGCTGCTACTCGGGCATTGGCTTAACAGAGACCTCCCTATCAGTTTTCGGAAAGAAATAAACAGGTACTCAGACTTGTTGGGATACTAACTGTGACTAAAACTTTTGTGTGGAAGCCATTACAAAAGTTTGAATGTATTTGTAGTCCTCACAAATCGTTAATAACTCTCGCTAAAAACTTCAGCTCTGTACGATTTTTCGGTAGTGCGCAGTTTTCACATCAGCTGATACCCATCGAAATTTCCTCATATTTTCGTGGACTATCATACTCAACACAATGTACTTCTTTTATTCACCCTCAATCCAGTTTCTACCGTTTTTTGCTAAATCAGATCTGGATGTGGAAAACAAACTCACTTTGCCCTTCGCTTGATCAACTGAGTCTCTAGCCTTTGCCAAATCTTCTTCAGCTTCTGCTCGCAACTTCTCGATCTCATTGCTGACTTCCTTATATCTATCAATTCGCATAGCTACTACTTTGCTCATGCGTTCTGCTTCGGTGGTATCTTTCTTTGCGCTGTCGTAGATAGTTGCTCTGAAATATTTGGATCAGATAGTCCAACGATTCTCGGAAATAGTATGTACCTGAAGTCCTCTAGCCATTGATCAAACTCTTCCGATCGATTGAGCAGGTCTTCTAACGCGGTATCATTGAGTTTATTGGCCAAAACTCGCTTTAACAGCTCCTCAGTTTTCCTGTAAATTGTTAATTTACAAAATAAACTGCTTGAGTTTTGTAAAAATTTCAAAATAGTCACTTGTGCTCTTGCTCAGCTCGATTATGTCGTTTTTCTATGTATTCGCCACGATCTAGGGTAGCATTATAATGTGCTTCAGCTTCTAGAGCCCAAGCATCCAGCGTAGCCCCTCCTACCGATGTTCCACCGTACTGGAAAAGCTAGTAAATATTTTGATCGCTAAAAGTTGGTAGGCAAAAACAACTGCTTCGGCGCCCACTGTAAATCGTTAGCGATGTGACCTACCGTATGGAAATGCTTCAAAAATTGAGTGGTGTTGAATACGGTAGCGTAAGTCAGCTGTGATTCGTTAATAATACCTTCCGCCAGCTTGGTGAATTGCTCCAACGATGTGGCGCTTTTGTTCATACGATCCATTTGGAATCGAGCCTAGAAGAATTCAGTCGTGAAAGAATTTGCCACAAAAACAGTTACACGGCCCTAAATAAGAAGAAATTCTGTGAGACTTACCCCTTCAACCACAGCGAAAGCCTCTTTAGTATATTTGCTGTCTCTGACGATGCCAATTTCGCCGTCACCACCTTCACCAAGACCTCTCATAAACTCGGCAATCACTAGAAGAGAAAATCTCGGATTAATAGCAATAAGTAGATCAATTTTTCAAATTTTGAGTTAAAGTTTACACATGAAATATTTTTTCTCTGGATTTTTTTTTCGAAAAGTCTCCCTCGATTTTTCTTCCTCTGTCTTTCTTTTCAACCATCTCCTTTCCCCATCGTCCCACTTCCCTTTTTCTCGACAAAAATGTGCAATATCCATTTAACAAATTTTTTGATAAATTTTGTAGTGACATTAATCCTATTATCCAAAAACAGACTGAGTCCGGTAAGTGGCTTAGTAATCACTTACACTCTGTATTATTGCCAATTCTAGACAATCTTTTCCATGGAATCGGCCGAAGATTCGAGAAATTCTGATTAGCCAATGTCACTTCCAGCTCGTCTACCATCGTCATCAATGGTAAGTAGCATCCTTGGTCACACGCTGAAGATTTGGAAATTTCTTCGTTGAGAAAATTCCTTTCGCGAAAAGGCCAACCACTTACATGTGCAAACTCCTCCTATGAAAGCATGACGATGTTGGCAACGACTGCAATCTCGTCCAGTCACTCCAGGACGGCATTCGCATTCTCCAGTAAGGGGATTGCAGGCGCCGTGTAGAGAGCCATCTGGGTGGCAATCGCATGATTGGCAGAAGCCACCGGGTACGGACGGTTGTCCAAAGTACCCGACGACACAGCTGGAGTAAGTGTTATTTACCGTGGACGTTATAAGCTCGTAGAAGAAAATTCCGAATTCCGAAAAATACGGTTGGTGGGAACGAGTTTTGTTCCAGGGACCAGATCTCGCTTTTGGATTGACAAAGGCGAGAACTGCTCCCGAGGTCTTTTGATAGTGGAAACGTTTTCGTTTTAGAGCATGACGTTGTGACTTGCAAGAAGATAGTTACACGAACAAAGAAGTAGAGAATTTTTACTATTTTTGCGAAAACGATTTCTATTGTTTTAAATAAAAATTATGACTTCAGACCAACCTTTCACAGTATTGTCCAGTATAACCAGGCTTACAAGCGTTACACACATATCCTCTACCGTAATCCACGGCCACGCAAGTGTCGCTGAAAATATATATTACCCACATTTCGATGAACTTCCTAATTCGGGCAACTGTCACAACCTGAACGAGTTTTCTACCAATGGACAAGCACACTTTGTACAGGCATTCTCTCCACCTTGTCTAGCATCTCCAATATAACCACTTTTGCACTGATCGCAGTGATCGCCCAAAGTATTATGTTCACAGTTCTGAAAAGGATAACTCGTCCACAGGCCATCTTCTCCAAAATGGCAGTTGTCCTACCGTGCAGACACAAGTCTCTGGATGACAAGTGACAGAGTGTCCATTGCAGGCGCAAGGTTCAGACCAACCAACAAGTGACATATCATCCGGTGAATTTAGGTAGTCCCTAAAAAGTATATTTTACATATGATTGGGGATAGTTTTCCCAAGCGTTCCCAAAGACAATCGACCTGAGCAAAAATAATAAAGCACATTTCTTCAGTCTTTATACAGTGAAAATTTAGAAGCTATTTCATGCGTAGAGAATTTCTAAAAATAATAGTCCGGGTTGTCCGGTATTACCCACCACCGACACCTTCCGATACGAACGGGCCTGTAAGCAATCTAAAGGTCTACTGATGCTTTGAACAAATCACAGGACGTGCAAGCTCCGCCCACATATAAGGGTACAATGGGTTAATTTATATTATGATAATTTTCAAACCTCTGCTTCTTTCTACAGTATCCCGTGGCCGGATTTTGGCAAGACAATCCAGCAAAGCCCTGCGGACAGTTGCTGCACTGCTCCACACCGATAGCTGTGGAACCGGATGTTTCGGATGATTCCGGCACGGCGACGTCAAGCGACACCTCGACCATGGAGATCGCATCTCCTCTGGCTGGGTAATTGTAGGTGCCACGAATGTAGATGCCTTGAAGGTTTTGCAGGGCAATCATCAACTGTTTGCGAGTGACTGGCATTTCGGGACTTTGACGAGAACGCCATTCGGATTCGTGGAGGCGAACCTAAACGAAAAATTTGGTGTTAAAATTTCATTTTTTGCCTATCACATGCGCTAAGAATCCCAGAGAGATAATTTACAAAAATTGTTTATATACGAATATGAGTACTTAGCTTTTTCAAAGAAAAATGAACAAAGTCAAGCTATTCCTCAAACGTCACATCAGTAATGTATTTTTACAGATACTAGGGCTCTTGCCCCTCGAACAGAGCTTTCCCTTCCAGGTGACCAGTCATACATAGCACCATACTTGGGAACACTAATTGGTCAGCTCGAAAACGGTGTTGAAAGAATTTGAAAGAAAAGAAAGAAGTAAAAATTTTCGGTCATAAATGAATTGCATTGGCTGACGTGTAAGCAATGGCTTGGTTAAGGTTTTCGAACTTTCCACTGTTGAGGTAGAAAAAACATTTTGTGTATTCTGCCAACGAATGGTTGAATTGTGGGGTCAGAAACACATTTTGAAACTAAATTTATTCATTTACCTACCTTGTATTTCCCATCCTCTGCAATGTCCATGGGTATGTGCTCCAGTTCAATCCTATTATTGCCGATGAGTACCACCTAGAATAAAATTGGTTAATTGGCTAGAAAAAAGCAAAAAATCTCGGAAGTTTGCCAATGTGTACCTGTGGGAAGTACCGGAAATATTGGCTATCTGGGCGAATCCCTTCGATACCGCGGCGATTGTCCTCGTTCCAAATCTGAGCAGGAGGGGTAAATTTTGATAGAGGCTTTATGGATCTACACTTACCGTGAACCTCAAAAATCCATTATAGCTTCCTGTCCTATCACCAAGCATCGATTTTGGCAATGGCCAATACAGCGGTGTAGCATCAGTAGGGTAACTGTTGTATCGTGCCGGGTAGTCCTGAAATCAATCGATTATTGATCACTCATGAACAATTAAGGGTCTCGAATTACCTTGAGCAAGTTTAGATTGTGTTTTTTGGTGTAATACTCCCACGGTTCCTCAAAAACAGCTCGTCGATCTTCAGCATAGGTTTGTGCCCACATAAGTTTGCTCTGCTCACAAGTTGTGCTCCTACAACGATAAGGCAGAATGTATGGCTTACGGTGGAAATACGGTAGAGAGGAAAACCTATTGAAACAGAAGCATTCCGTGCAACCAAGCATATTTGAGGCGTCCAAGCTAAATGTGCCTTCCTTGCACTGATCACATTTCTCACCGATGACGTTTTTCTGCAATCAGTTGATTGTTGATTTGGTGCTCACTAATCGATTATTGATTCGTTCGTACCTTGCAAGGACATTCTCCCTTCTCATTACATAGACACAATCCTTCCTTGCACTGGAGTGGATCCGTACCACCTGGCTCACAATCACAAGACTTGCAATCCGGGAAGCCGAAGAATCCGTGAGTGCACCGATCGCATCGTAAACCAACGAATTCCTCACGGCATTTGCACTAAAAGGCAAATTTTTTTAAGTAGTCAAAGTAAACACAAGACAATTCTGAAAATCAGCCAAATGAAATGAATAAATGACCTGTCCTGTGCGGAAGTCGCATTTTCCGTCACTGCTGCCAACCTCCGAGCATTCGCACAGTTTACAGCCTTTCAGTGGATGGTAGTCCCAAGCGTTTTCCGTGCAATTTTCGCACATCTCTCCCACCGTATTCGGTGGGCAGACGCACTCGCCAGTGATCGGGTCACATACCTGCCCAGGAGCTGGACAAGCTTGGCATTCTGAAAGTGAGTCGCATCTATTCAGGTTACTGTAGGCTCTGGTAGGAAAGACAAAAGATATCCAATGAGCGCCCGTGCGGACTACTGGTCCTTTCGCTCAAGCTATTACATGCCCTGTGAGGACCAGTAGTCCGAAGAGGCGACCCTTGATGGCAGTATTCGCTCTACCCTTGTAAGTTAGTTACTTGTGACACATTTCTAGCATGAAAGGCGTATAAGGCGAGTCTGGATCCTTATCTTAATACTCACACTATAGTCGATGACTGGTCCTTTTCGAAAGAATGGTGTCACACGAGAGTTTAGAATTGGATAACTTGATCAGAACAAATCACATGAAGTTGCCCTAGCAATAGCTTAGTTGACTTCCCCATCAGTCTCAAAAAAAGGAACCCAGATAAGCATTGGGGAATGCCTTTGTGTGTGTAATGCGAACTACATCGTTTTGCGGCAGTGCTACTGTTATCGCAACGCACGGGACTACGGTAGCATGAGAAAGGTAGATACAATGTTGAAGATCTTACCTTTGCATCCCTCTTCATTTAAACCATAGTGATTTGGCATGCACTGATCACATTTCAAGCCAGTCACTCCTGGTTTGCAAACGCATTGTCCTGAATGTAGGTCACAAGCCTCGCCGTCCGAGCCCGTAGGATCGCATTTACAGGCCTAAATGACATGAAGTTATTGTATTAAGATGATTAAGATGACATATCATAATGAGATAATTAGATAATATACAATTTTCAAAGTTGCACATTCCTTCTGTTCCAAGCTCGGCTTGATTGCAGAGATAAGCAAAGCACGTATTTTGAGATCAAATACTTACCTGACATCCGACTCCACTGGTGATGTTGAAAAATCCATCAGCGCATTTTTCGCACATTGTTCCGTCAACATTGTCACGACATTCACATTTGCCAGTCACGTTGTTGCACTAAAATGGGTGAACTTTGATATTTTCGTTATTTGCAAGTCACATGCTTAGCTCGCATTTATATGGCCAAAGACCCTTCTACACCGCTACAGTACGCTACCGCAACTTTCTCTTTGAAAAATAAGTGCAACGTGGATTTCAAATATTGGGCAAGAATGATGCTTCATTTTAATAACGTTTTAGCGTAGTTTAGCAGATTACGATGCTATTATCTCGCTTTAGAGCCACGCGACGTTATGGTAGCCTCTGTTAATGGTTGCAAAAGTGCCTACTTCATCAATTTGTGTAATTAGACTCTTACTGCTAGCTGAATTTGCAACTGATAAATCTAGAATTACTGCGCACCTTTCCATCTTCAATCGAACCGTAGATGTTGCAATGACAGAATTGACAACCAGCGTCCGTAAAGTTGAAGTAGGACGGACGGCATTGATCGCATCTCTGAATATCGATTGATTCGGCGAATTAAAAAAAAGGTCAGAATACTCTTACCTTGCCAAAGACTCCTTGCTTACAGGTGCATTGTCCACTGATGGCATCACACTGATCTCCAATACTGCCAATAATGTCACATTCGCAAGCTGGGCAACCATTCTCGATATCGCCATGACCGTCCTTCAAAATTATTAATTTTTCAAAGAATTATTTCAGGAGGTTGTTATGGTTTACCATGCATCGATCACATTGTCTTCCGATGTAGTTTTCTTTGCAGGTGCATTCACCGTCTAGCTGGCTGCATTGTGGCGATACGGCTCCAACATGGTGACAACCACATGCTTTGCAGGTGTGATCCAATGCTGATCCCCAGTGATTTTCTTTGCAAAGCTGAAAATGGACAACTATCTATTCAAAAATTTTGGCGGGGCTTGTTTCATGAATGTTTTCTGAACACAGAGGGAAACATGGAAGTGATGCTAGAGCGCGTAAAAAAACCTTGAAGGCAGTGCCAAGGTATATCTGGGTATCCTAGTTCTTGAGGATTGGTAGGCTAACATACAAGCGCTCATAAGACTCATTCATGGTTGCGAAATCCATTACCTAACTTCTGCCCGATACCGTATCCTTTAGCGGTGCAATCAGCGTCCCCGAATACGATACTGGGCGAGAGTTTGCTCTTGATATTATCAGTCACGACTAAATCATATAAGCTGCCGCTTCAGCAACTGCTTTGCTAGTGTTTTTCAGTCAGTATCTACTCAAAAAACATAGATAGCTAGACTCGGCTGAAGGCTATCAATAATCCTAGAAGATGAGGCCAATTCAAGTTTGAAACTCTTCAAATGAAAAGTAAAAACGCTACAAACCCGGAATTTTTTCGTCGTTGATCTATCTTTACTGGTGCTAATCACTGATTATAATAAATTATCTGAGACTAATTTTTTTGTACTTCAAGATGCACTTCGGATTTTTTCTTAGTAAAATTAATCACCGCGAAAAGATTGTTCATACAACTTTTAGCTTTTTACCATCTTTCTTTTGGATCAAAGGAAACCCACCTCGCAGTGTTCACCCATGGTGTCACCAATACACTTCAAGCATCTTCCGGTTTGCACATCACAATTACCAATCGCCATCGGATCCACATTATCGTTACAGTCGCACTCAACACAAGTTCCGTTGGGCTCGAGAGGATTTCCGAAATATCCGTCGGCGCATCTGCAAGGGTTACGGTAGGCTTCACTAGTGCTGGTGAACTTTTATCCCATAACTTACACTTCACACTTGTTGCCTTCGTAACCTCGTTCGCAAGCAGTACAAACATAGGCATCTTCTTGAGATGCTGCTGGTCCCGCGACGACAAGCTGAAGAGAAATTGTTGTGCTATTTTCCTATGTCAAAGCGATTTCCGTACCTGCGTCATCACGCATTCTGATGACCGACTGTTCTCTACGGTAGGGCATGCGCATGGTCTACAAGCTCCTAGCTCTCCACCTAGAGAGTTTAGTAATTCAAATATTTTTGTTGAAAATTAGGATGAGTATTCCTACCGAGAGAAGGATTTCCATAATGCCCCGGCAAGCAAAGCTCACAACGGGATCCAGTAGTGTTATGCTGCAAAGAAGCTTATGAGGTTATACCGGAAGTTGTTATTTATACCAGAAACATGATAGGGCATACCTGACAGTTGGTACACTCTCCAGTGAATGGATCACAAGTGTCCGTATGTCCTTGGCAGGTACACTTCTCACATCGTCCACCGTACAGCTGGTTGTTGACTCGCCGGTAGCCGGGAACGCAAGACTAAAACATTTTTAGCAGCTTTGTGCACAATTTCTGAAGTTGCTGAAGATACAGGTAAGATTGGGAATAAGTAAAGTAAGTAAAAGAAACGTTGGTCGTCTCTTCAAAAGTGCCTATTGAATACACCCGTTCTGCTCAAAAACACAGCAGCGGAGGATTTTCTATAGCGATCAAATTTTGAAATTTTCATGCTAAATGGGCTCTCCCGTGTACCCTACCGTAATCTACTACAGTAAGTGGACGATAACCCTCTTTGCACTGTTTTTTATTTACTTCCAGCGAGATGTGAAATTTTATTGCACTTTATCTCTATAGTTTTACTCGAACGTATCTAGCAAGTTTAATTCATGTCAAATTTCGGAAAAATTTGCCATGAATATTTATCAATGTAGAAATATATATACCCTATGCTTCAAGCGGCTCGGCTGCTGGAAGGCGGGGCTTTATGACTAGGGGGCGACTGCTCGCGTCCGCGACGCAGTCGGCGCCTCCCTCGCGAACATGCTCTCTGATCATGTTCTAGCCTCAACTAGGTCACGAACCCCGCCTTCTAGCCACCGATTTGGTTAAAGAAGGGATAGGAGTGGGGAGTAACAATAAGGAGCAGATTAGAGTAACAGCACTTTCGGTTTTACGCTGTACTCTTCTTACCCTGAAGTAAGCTTGATTGCGACCCGCAGTTTCTGCTTACCCACCTCACAACTATTTCCAGCAAAATTCTCTGGACATTCGCAAACTTCTACTCCTCGCATTCTCGTATCTGGCATTGCCGGATGCAGGATATCGATATCGTTTTCCACAGGACTTCCCTCTGGTGGAGGTACGGCTGTGTCAAGCGTCAGTCCGAAGATACTAAAAAAATCGCTTATGACTTTTTGTACAAATCTTATATGGTTTTGGCTAGCTACGGTATCCCTACCTGCTTTGCAGCTGTTGTTGTTGATACATCGCTCTCACTAGAAATCGTTCCACACCAGCCAAGGCTCTCAGCATATCAGCTTTGTCCGCTGGTGTTCTGGTTACGGAATTGTACCATCCCGGGCCTTCTCTGAAAAAAAACTCAATTAACAACAAACTTGAATTTGTTGACAGGTAGAGATTATCTCTTAAAGACTATTTCAAATAAAATTCAGAGGAAACGCCAAAAATCAGCTTGTACCGACCTTATGGGAATCTCTACAGTCATATTTTCCCTTGGGAAGAAATCCATCCTGGTATAGTACTCGATCTTGATACCGTTACCCTGTAAATATAGTGATTCTGTGATCGGCTTTCGACAACGTTCAAAAACGTTAGGTTATTAGGTTTCTTCTATTACCTCGATAACTAAATCAGCGACGGGTACACTATTTCCTTGCTCCATTGGTACATAATAGACAAAATAGTGAAGATTTCCTCCGTAGCTGTTGAGCTGAAGCAAATTTGTTATGACCCATTTGCTCTCGAGTTATTAATTAAGAGATTCCTGGTCTCCTGGTCGAGTTTAGTGTGAGCTTACCATGTTCCCGGTAAAAGTATCAGGAGCCTTCCAGTAAAACAATGATCGGTCCTTATTCTGATTAGCATTGAACATCAACACTTCACGATTTTCTACTTCTGGTCGTACATCTCGTCCTCCGCTAAGGTCTGTCAGATTCCAGCCGACATTGTTTGAGATCTACAAATCCCAATACAACGTCCAAACAAGTTCGCACTGATTCAGTTTGGCCTACCAGAGCAGTAGCCCATGGAATCTCACGACATTTGTCTGACATTCCAAAGCAGAAGCAAGCCTGACATCCGAGAGGATTGTCAGCGCTTAGGTGAATCGTTCCTGGTCGACAGCGATCACAATACAGGCCTTCGACGTTCGCCTTGCATTTGCACCTAGAATTGATCGATTATCGACTCTAAGTGAATTTATTGATCAGGAGGTCTCTATGCTTACTTCTCTTCCTCACAGGTATCAAAGTTCACCGAACCAGCCTGGTTGCATGGACAAGGTTCACATTTAGGATAGTTACGGTAGCCACGAGCACAACGTTCACAGCGACGTCCTCCAAATCCTGGCTTGCAGACGCAATCACCGGGATGCTAAAACACAATTCACTATCCTCAAATCATGCCATGATTTTGAAAAAAAGGACACTGACTTGTCCAGAAAGTGCGCTTTGATCGTCTCGAATGCAGACATCGCTAACAGATCCGGTAGGATCGCAATCACAAGTTCGGCATGCATCTTCTCTGTAACGAAGATTGATTTTATGTTTTTGTACTGTGATCTGTGTCCTTTCTGGAGAATGTTCTACACTAGATGTGAAGCAACGTTCGATTTTCGTTGATTATTTTTTAGTCCTACCCGAAATACAAAACAAAAGGAAAAATCTGGAATGAGAAAACTTAGAAATAGTGCTAGAGTAAGACTTCGTGATTGTTGTTAATCTTGAGGGTATCTTGAGAGTTACTCTTTGATTCAAGTGGCTTGGCGGCTGGAAGGCGAGGCTTCGTGACCTAATTAAGGCTAAGTAATGATCAGAGCCTAATTAAGGCCAGGTAATAATTAGAGAGCACGCGCGCGGGAGAGAAGCAGTCTGCGTAGCGGGCGCGGCCTCAGTTAGGTCATAAAGCCCCGCCTTCCAGCTTCCAAGCCAGTTGAATCAAAGGTTACCTGTAGTGAGAAAGTCCACTTGGTCGATAGTAACCATCTTTGCATCTTTCGCAGTTAAAACCTTCGGTGTTGTGCTGAAATTAGATAACATACCGTCGAGTCATTTCAACTTAATATGTGCAGTGCACACTATATACGCTAACTGACGAACTGCGAAACTAGAACCTCTTCATTTCTAGTGATTTCTCCTACTTTCCTTGTTTCTTTTGTTTTAGTTGTTTATATTTTGGTCAGTAGAACACATTTCTACATTTTGTTAGGCTAGAAAATGTTTTACTGGGAAGGTACAAGCATGGATGCCGTCGCTAATAGGTCTTATCGTTAGTGTGCATCACACATTAATTTACAAATGACTCGAGGTTAAGTAAATCGAACTTTACATGTGTAGCTTGGTTATGAATGAGAAGTCCCTTCACTTGCATCCCCCTCGTCCCCCAACTTCTCTGCTGCGTAAATATTCCTATTAATTTACCTTGCACTCGACGCATCGACCTCCTCCCTCGTAAACTCCTTCGGGTGTGATCGACCATTTGTTATTGTCCAATTCTTCATCATAGACACAGGAGTCAGCGTGATTAAAGCACTGACATTCTAAAATAATTGTTTGATATTATGATAAAATGTAAAAATAGAGATCGTAAACTCGAGACTGGTTTGCTCTGTAAAGAAACTTGTTATCGTATGATAGAATTTCGAAAAGAAAACCAAAAACGTATAGAAGTAGTAGGTCCTGTAACGAAAGACTTCGTGACTTAATTAAGGCTAGGTAATGATCAGAGAGCATGCGCACAACAGAGACGTAGACTGCGTCGCGGGCGCGAGTGGCCTTAATTAGGTCACAAAGCCCCGCCTTCCAGCCGCCAGTCCAATTGAACCAAAGGTTATTTTAGGGCTTGATAGAAAATATAGTAGACTAACGTTGACAAATGTTTGGAATTAAATGCGTTCCCGGCTTCCACGGTAGTTGATTGAACATCGGACAGCATCTGTTACAGGACTCGCCGCAGGTATTGTGACGGCATTCGCATTTGAATTGCTGAACAACCAATTAATTTAATAAGTAAAGCATTTCCTATTATTGACATATTTTATCTTTCTATTGTTATCATTTTCAATTATTCACAACTAATCTCCTTCCCATGAAACCCCCTCAATTGACTTTTCTCGACCAATCGATATATTGATTTGATTTTCTGCACTTACCCCAGTAACTGGATCGCTTGGGCAACTTTCAGCGTGTCCATAGCAGATACACTGCCCACCAATCGATATGTCCGAGATCGAATAGAAATATCTGGAAGATAGGTCTAGGAGCTGATCGATTATCGATTAGCAGTGATTACCTCATAGTTACAGATCTGTCAATTCTATTATGATGTCTATTGATAATCATAAGATCCGCATTCAGAGTTCGTGGTGAAATCAATCGCAATCGTACAAAACGGGCTCGGGTAAATTTCTAAAGCAATATTTTTTTATGATGATTACCATAATGCATTAGATCACTTACCTGCAGCTCCAGAGATGGTTTTTCCACACCAGGGCGGCCATTGACCAGGGAGGTATGGATCTCACCACCTTCCAGTGGTGTGATTTTGGAATACTCGCTGGTGCAATGAACCTAAAAAATTGTTTGACGTTCTTCTACAAGACAATACTTTATAGGACCATATCTTTTGGGCAAAAAAGGGATTCTTGTAGGAATCAAAACGACCGCTACATACAATATATGTATAAGGGTGTCTGAGATTCTCTATTTTTCCCTTGTCTCAGACCAGAAATCATACAAATGCGAACGATTTCCCGGCTTATAATGCAAGGGTCAGAATCAATTAATTAGGGAAGGATCCCTAGTGGTAGTGGCGGTCTGGAATGAGTGGCATATCATTGGATTCAGTTTGTTGTGCTAATTCCATATCTAACTTTCATATCTGCTAAGCGGTTCTTTAGAAGAGATTATGCACTTCTAAGTTGGATTTCAAAACGTATCATGCATTGAAACCTCAGTGACCACACCTTCAATTGTTTGCAAAATCTTCTGGAAAATAGCTTAGCAGGTAGAAAAATCAGATTTGGAATCAGCTCATCATGATGCATCCAATGATTTGCATTTCATTCCGAATCGAGAGTGCGTCTTGGGATCTTTTTCTTGTAAGAATTGCAAAAATCTTGCATTTCAGTAACCGCGCAAACAAATATTAGGTTGTCCCGAAAGTTTTGTCCGTTTTTTTCAACCTATCATAAAAATACGTGGAACAAAGATACGGAAACGCTTCAAGCACTACCCGATGCATTTTTTTCTCCTCTTTCGAACTGTCAAGACTGAGATAAATGCCGAAATTTCGAACCTATGGTTTTTACTATGTCCATGTTTGACAGTTTTTCACAATCTTCATTTTAAACTTTTTGAAGACCTTTGATAGCCCTCAAATAGGGTAAGCAAAGGGCAATGCAATGCATTTATTTGGCATATCTAGCTGGCTTTTCAATATTTTCAAAGATGATTTTTTCAAAAGTCTTCACTTTTGCGAAGTGCTAAAATAGAGAAACGCCTCGAACACTAGCAAATCATCGGATTTTGAAGCTTTCAAAACCGATTACGATTATTCACTATTTTTACGAAGCAAATGAGCGTTTACCGCTTCGAAATATAAGATTTTGCATTTTACGTGCACACGCTGGGGTGGGGTCAAATTTAAAAATTATAGAAATTTTATCGCCAAAGACCTCGCAAATTGGAGAGGAAATACACTCACTGGAAAGAGGAGGAAAAGCTGCATCGAATATCACCTTAGTTGTGCGCCGTTTCATGATCTCTGGCTTGGCATCACCAAAAGTGTAATTTGATAGCATAGAAAAATAATTTTAAAAAAATTTTCAAGGCTGGCTATAGATGCCGCAAAATTGCATTACATTGCCCTTTGTTTGCTCTATCTAAACGTTGCCAAAGCTTTTCCGAAAGTCAAAAATAAAGATTGTGAAAAATTGCCAAACTTGGGCATAGTAAAAACCATGGGTTCGAAATTTCGGCGTTTATTTCAGTGAACAAAAGATTAATCGGCATGAAAGCATGACAATTAGAGAGAGAAGGAAAACATGCGTCGGATAGTGCTTAGAGCGTTTCCCTATCTTCGTTCCACGCGTTTTTATGATAGGTTGAAAAAACGGACAAAACTTTCGGGACTTCCTAATAGAATGATCTACCTCGTCGTCACGCTGATACTTTGGCACTCCGGTAGTTGCTGGAATCCCAAATTGCCGCATACATTCAGCATCGGACGTGGCAAAGTATTGCCAAGCTTCGTAGTGGACACCATCTAGCGATTTTTCCAAAACCCATGTTCCCGGCCGGGGAGCGTTACCCATCTTGACGATGACATAAGCGACTTGATATTCCTGAAAAAAAAATAAGTAGATTAGAAATTAAATTTTTCTTTAGATCTTCTTTTTCTTTAGATTTTCCTCCAGATCTGTCTGACCTGTCTCATGATTTTGTTCCCATTCTGAATTAGTCCAATCTTATCTACCCTTCTGGAAGCCTGGCCCACCCCTCTAAGCGATTGATATAAAATGTTGTAACAAAATTTTGGAAAAGTTAGGAACTCCTCCAACTGCAGCTAATCACTTCAAAAATCCTTAATGACGATTGCAACGATAAGGCTGACCAAGATAAATGCTCAAAACTCGAAAAGCTAAAACTTAAAAAGCTAAAATACCAAAGCTTTTGGTTTTGATTTTATTCTATGACCTGCTTTTTCATCCTAAGAATCGTTATCGGGCTTCCAAAAACAACTGCTATTTCTGATTTCTATGCTCTCCTTTCTAATTTTGACTCGAATAAAACCCTCTAATACGTTGATGAAGAACAACATTTGATATTTGTTACAAAAATAATAGTATAATCTAGTATCTTGTTTGAATTTTTGGAGCGGATTTTTCCTATTTTCTGGTGCAAGACTTATGTATCGAAAGACTATATGTGATCTATCATGATGATTATTTTCTTTAGCGGACAGACATGAGGATGTAGATGCACTCTAATTTTTTGCAAAAATCTCATAAAGCTGAGACCAATACACTTGTGCCCCTGTTCTACTTGAAAAAAAAATTGAGAAACCCTTCAACTGGTACGTAAAGCATTGGAATAAGTATAAAGATTTTTTCTTATGAGGAAAAAACTGGGACAATTCACTAACAATTACTCATTCTGTATAATTCTGGTTCCATACCAGACTAGTTGTAGATAGTAAAGTCATCCTAGTTAACTGTTGATTTTATGACATGTTTGCCGGTTACTTTCTTTCATCATTTAGATTCCTCTCAAGTTTTCAGTTATGTTTATCTTTTCATGGCTAACGGTAGCTGTTTGAAGCTCAGCTCAAACTTTAACGAAAATATTTCCGGTTTCGTGACAGGCTTATATATGGACATTCCGAATAATGTCGCTTTTTTCTGTTTGATGGGGCAAAGATATGTAGGAGGTCCAAGTAGCATTCGATGCAGCAATCTATGCTCCTTCTAAATCCTTGTAGCATAGTCACTGCGCTCTCGGAAAATTACCGAAATCTGCGACCCATGCCTTGAAATGGTCATTCACAACTTTTTAAGCTTTTATTTCGACCATCCGAAGAATTCCGAGTAACGATCCGACAGACCAAACATTACAGGGTACGGTTCTTTTTTTCATATCGCGCCATAATATATTTTTATTTTTATTTTTTTTCTATCTTTCAAAGATTTTCTACAAACCATCGGAGGCCTACGTCAGTCACAATTACATCAAAACTCAGTAATTCTTTGGAATTTTAAATTCGAGCTGGAGCTATGATTTAGCAATAATTTTGCAAAGCAAAAGAGCTTACGGATTCGGAATATCAGATTTCGAGTTTCTCGAGAATATCCTTGGGCGCATGTAAAAACTTGAGTTGTGATGATTTTGTCCCCGAAGTTTCCACGAATCGGAAACAAAAAAAAAACACCCATTAGAACGGTAGAAAAAGCTGCGCCAAACAGCACCCGAGCTGCTCTCCCTCTGACGTTCTACGAGGTTAGTTGACCAAGTATGGAAATTGGTAGCGTCAGTTCAAATTCTGTTAGAAAAGTATGAGAAGTTATGCAAAGGAGAAAAAAATGTTTTGCAGCCTGTATGGTCTGCTCTACAAATACGTTACATGGGTTCCTTCAGAGGTTTGAAATGGTTTAGAAAAATTGTGAAACTTGACCAGCTCAAAAAGCATGGGTTGCAGATTTTGGTAATTTTCCTAGAGCTCCTTGACCATTCTGCAACGGTTTTACAGTCATTAGAAAGAGGATAAATTGCTGCATCGAATGCTACCAAGATGTCTTATGTTTAGAAATCTTTGGTCTACGAAATGTGGCGTTCATTTGGTAGAAACCACTTACTTTCGGAACGATCTAACATCTAGACAATTTCCTTATTGTGCTTATTTACTACACCCTGCCAGACGTCCAAGTACAGTAGAAATCCAACCAGTTCCTTTTATTACCTACATTCCATCAGTAATTTCATTTGACTCTACCCTCTGATAACTGATTGTAGTTATTTTACGTCTTCTCTCTGTATCAGTCACTTTACGCTCTCCCCCCTCGATTTGGCAATGACCCGTGTCCTGTCGCTGCTCGTAAGCGCCCTGGCAAACTCCCTCTGATGTCGCTTGTATGGCGCAATCATAGTCAACATTAGGATCGAACGTCAATATGCTCTTCCGATAAAGAGCAGCGCTTGGGCAGCGAGGAAACATCACAATGTGGGTGAGAGGAGAAGAAAAGCAAAAAATGAAGAAAAACCAGTTCACCTGTCGTAAATCGAGCGTGATGTTGACTCGTTCATACTGCAAACCATTCGCCAGTGATGGGGATTGCCACCATCTGCAATGTCTGAGATTTTATGGGAAAGAGAGGGGAGAAAGGGGGTAAAGGTAGTGTCCAAGCAAATATGGGCTGGTTTTCTTGAGTGAAACTGTTTACGAGGCTTGAAATAAGCAAGCCATTGCCCATGCGACAGCTCATAAGATTTATTGGCGGCTGAGGAAGTCTTTTTGAAGCTCTCGCCCAGTACCGCACTCCTTTCGAAGGATGGTGTCCCCAACTACGGTACTGGGCGAGAGCTCATAATTGATTTTTTCAGTCATGAGTGAATTACATTAGTTGCCGCTAAGGCACAGTGGCTCATATTTTCCAGTTCGTGTAGATCGCCAGATAAATAGATTCGTTTTATCATTGCCTTAAATTTAGGTAGAATCTTACCTTCTGGTCCCGTCGATAGCGAATTCTATGGGATGCCGGTGTTGAGCATCATTGGCATCGCAGATATCGCACTGAGGTGAACTGAAAATGAATTTTTGTAAGAATGTAGGGGGGGGGGGGCACAAATAGAATGAGAGAGCACTTACCCTCCAGCTGCAGTTTTCCTCAACAACACGTGTTCAACAAGCTTACAGTACTCCTCTCGACGTGAGTACCCACAAGTGGCTGTAGCGTTTATCAAGGAGTTTGTTGCCAGGTTAAAAATGCTGGGAAAGAGACCGCGTTCTGTAATTGCTGACAATTTTTTGTTGGGTTCTTAGAAAAAGTTCAGCATACCGCTTTCAGTGGTAATAAACTCCTGATATGCATCGTAGTCCTGGCAATTGGTCAAACCGAACAGTAGCATGAAAGCAACAAGCCAGTCCATAGGACTGTGCAAGTGCTTCATGCTAATTTTTCGGTGGAATGCGGCTGAAATGCTAGAGTAAATTCGTGAAAATTTATCAATCACAATGTGGAAGAATATTCGACGATTCAAGACAGAAACACTAACTGAAAACATCAAGTCTTCAAAGTGAATAATCAAAGGTAACAAAAATAAGAATTATCAAAAATGTCTCAAAATTGAAATACACATATATAATTCATACATATTTCAGAGACAAGCTCAGAAATGTTTGATTTTTATCATAAATGGCAGTCATATGGCGATGTAACAAAATCTGTGCACTGCACCAGTGTTTATATACTAGCTTTTTGTGAGTATGATTCAATGATCTTTGTTTCCCATCATATCATATAAAAGGTGAAAATGTCATCAGTTATTCTTTATAACTACGATATATAAGAATCATGAATAGAATACCTAAAATCGTTAGAGGCATCAGAAAATATTACATGAAGAAGACAGCAGCAAATAAAATGTAAGGAAACTTTATTTCAACATGGAAGATAAGCAAAACCTAAAGTTGTGGTAAGAATTGGTTTTGAATCTTCTGAGCAAACTAATTTTGAGGGCCCCAAAATATGTCAAATAATCTAAGCAACTGGGGGTGTGTAAAGTGTAATTTTCAAGCATTTATTAAAGGGTTGATAAAAATTTGGTTATTTAGGTTTAGTGAAGAAATGTGGTAACATACAACCAGATGTCGTAATTTCGACTATAGTAGTCCTATATATGTAGGGTGTCCCAACAGTAAGCACACAGTTTTCATTCCTCAATAACTCTCTCCGCAGAGTCTTTCAATTAGCTCTAAGCAATATTTTATGGAGCAAGCTTTGGTAGATTAACGGTATAAATTTTATCAGTCAGCTCTCTTCATTACTGTAGGATTGGTAGGAACTTTGGAAAAGGTTCTGCGCTATTAATGATTATTTTTTTGCACCAGAATGGATTCTCAGCGGGCCGAAAACCTCATCATTAGGACAAATTGAGCCGCTGGGTATAAATATAAAACTTACACTTACAGTAAACCTTTTCATAACTTATGCAAGGTAAACCGCAGTAACGTTGTTTCAGTGTTTTCAAGAATCTAATAGAATTTATTCAGTCGTGGAAAACTTGTAAAAAGCTGTTTAATGAACTTAGCATATCTGGAAACACTCTGCACAACTTTTCAGAATTAAATTTTTTTTTGAAACTACGTAATTCAATTCGCTGTATGCTGAAATTTTTCACCGTAATTCTACAGTTATGAAGAGCGATGAGTGTTTCGCTCAATATTGTATCTAAGTTGAAGTCTACTCTACCAAACGGTATCTGAAGCTAAGCAGAAGACTTAATGGAAAGAGAGTTATTAACTATCAAAAAGTATGTACTTACTTTCGGAACACCCTGTATTCTATCGTCCACCTTTTCCCATTGCCTCCTGCTAAGCTGTATTTCCATACTAAATTTGTTTGACTTATCTTCAGTATGAAATCTCCCATATTCGAAACCGTCCATGTACAAGAAACTCAAAATAAAAAGTATTTTTTACTCGTTTTATGGAAATAACCCTGCCCTTACAATGGCTAAATGTCAGAGAAACAAATGTCCTCGACGTGTAGCAGCTTAGACGAGCAAATGCAACGATCTGTCGCTCTGATAGTACGAGCACGAAGTGTAGAAAAAGCCTAGTACACCGTGTCGTTACGCACACTTTTAGCGGTGACTCTTTGTGCAAAAACAAGCACTTGTTGGGACACATCACCTCTCGGAAGCACTAATATTGTTTCGCTGCTTTTTGCAAGGGTGTGACATATGTCAAAAATGAACAATGGTAGTGAAAATTGAGTTTTCGAGTAGGATTATATTCATAATCAACATTGTATGTTAAGAAAACAAGCTCACTGAAAATGTGTGGAACTAGCTGTATATTCTTTAACAAATCTTTCAACAACATTCAAATAAAAAGAAACAGGTTCAGCTTCCCATGAAATTGCAAATGCAAACACTGCTTGCGATCTTATTCACCCTTTTCGCACTGGTTCTTATTTGGTAAAATGTGAGCAATGATGTGGTATGAAATCAGATAAAATTCAATGGAAAAATATTTGTTTTTTTAATTGAAATTGCAAATGAATATCGTTTATTTGTTATTTGGCTGATATAGGTCGTATGAATGAATTTACAACAGATGATAAGGGAAGCAGCAGTCAAATATAATGCATAATTAAGCAAGAAATTTCTGGGAAGTCCTAGAAGTTCGAATTATTTTGAACGTTCAGTCGACTGAAGTATGGAAAGGTTTCCAAAACAAGAACGATATCTAGACCAAATACGGTACTGAAATGAAGAAAAGAACAAAAACTCCTTCTGCGCATAGAATTTACAGAATTTCCTGTATGCATCGTTGACTGACCATTAGTCATTGCACTCTGACTCATACCTGAATCTAGTTTATATCTGATCACTAGATGAATGATGACATTAAAAAACGGATTTCTTAAAAACGTGATAGTTGAAAGCTAAAATTTCAGGGGTAATTATTCCGTGTCAACTCTTCCTAGCAACGTCGCCTTTATTCATTTGAAAAGAGGAATTGATACCAAGCACATGTAAAAAAAGAAAACTCTCTGTGCAAAAATAGCAAGGGTTTTGGTAATCTATGCACAAATTTGAGCTTCTTCCATCCAGATTTTTCCATTGATTTTTCTCAAAACTCTAGGAGAGAGCAGAACCCCATATTCGTTGATGCACATTTAAGAAAATGTCTTTTTTGGATTATTTCTAAAGCTGATATTATATTGACTTTCTCATCGGGTAAATACATAGTAATACATACATTGATAATGAACAAATCCTCAAATTGGCGTTACTGCATTTGAAAAGAATTGTTAATGCTGTGGCGTAGAATTCGGTATGATTTCATAAAAAATTGTTGTTGAAATTATGTGATAATAGCTACGTACATTTCAATGGCATGCACAAGTTCAGTAAAAAGTTGACAATTTTGTATTAGCAAAGGATTACTAATAACAAAATTTTTAAAGATGTAGGCGCAACTGTTATCTCCACTTCTCACTGTTAACGTTTTCAACCGCGCACAAAATGCCAAATCGCATGATTCATGAGACGATGTTCTGTTATTAGAGCTGCAAATGTCATGGCATATCCTTGCCAGAAATCTGTAAGGATACATAGGGCTCCTTTTAGAGCAGACAAAGAGGTTGATGAAAGAGCAGATAAGAGCCCATAAAGCACACGCCCATACGTGGTACGACCCGGAACACTGGTCACTCACTCTGCGCAGGGTCCCATCTCATTATTTATGTTGTAATAAACCGCTCACATCCCAGACAACAACATATGCACTTCTTCGAACACGCGTGTACGACTAATTCGGATAGTAAAATGATGGATCGATAATTGATTGGCTGGCGGGGAGGGGACAGCTGCAGTTCATCTAGAATAAGATGCCAGAGCTATTACGATATCGTTGTATAAAAACTAGATTTTTGAGACTTTTGAGTTTTTTTCCTTCCCAATAACTTCGACTTCTGATGAAATAGATCAAAGTTAGCATTAGTCAGAGCCGAAAAGAGCAGTTACAGTAGGCGTATAGTACACCCACAGTAAGTGCTGATGAATGGTACGAGTGTTACTGCGAACAAAATAGTCTGCCGTTGACCTCTGTAAATGCAAATCAGTCAAAAATAGCTCTTAAAAATGTCGTCGAAAACATTTGTCAACTATTGAGCTCCAAGCTTAGTCAAAACCCAAAATACTCCTTTCACCACGTGCGAAAAAAAGAACATACTGTAATCTACAGTAAGAATGCAATCAACATTGTCAAAAGTTGGATTTGTAAAATGCTGAGCTGCTTCCCTAACCCAGTAGCATAAACATTTTTTGAAGAATGTTTGATTGAAGTAAATAACGTATATCACACTCGAAAGGGGCCCGACTACAGTACACCTACAGTAGGCAGAGGAGAGGGTTGCAAAAATATTGAAGGTACTTCATAAGTTATGGAAATGTGCAAGTAACTTATTTTTACTTTTTCGCCTTTTTCCAAGTTATAGAGCCGCAGAAATTTTGGGCAGCATCCCAAAAAAATTTTCGGAGTACGTGCTAACGACGCACTTTATTTCACAGAAATTTTGTTGCTCCCCCCCCCCTCTACCGGACGGAAATTCCTCAACCGCCACTGATACCCAGCAATAGGAATTTTTTTTCAAAGAGGTTTTCGATCCAGGTGAATAGCGTCGACACGACTGAAAAAAAAAGCAGCTCCAGTATACCTATAGGAAGACACAGAGCAAGACGGCGGTATTAAATATTCACCATACATGCGACATTTTGTAAATTTGAGCCTTACACACTGTCCAATGACTTAATTTTCTGTGGATGTTTCAATAATTGAAATAGCTTCTAAAAATTCAAAAAGAAATCGTATGAAGTTTAGTAAAGTTTCCAACGCTGCAACGATTCATTGCTTGACTCATCGCTGCGCTTTGCTACGTTTATTACCGCATGATTCTTATGACAAATGCTTAGAGCGAAGAGAGAAGGCGGATGGCTATTGAAAAACTATACTACGGTTTCTCCGCGATGTTCCCGGAAATGTCTTCCTCGGAAGAAACAAATGCCGCTAATGTTCGAGATGTTGTGTAGTTTACACTATAACGTAAAAAAAGTCAGTTGCATGAACGAGAACTGTGAATTGAGCAAAAGACCAGATGTGTGGAGACCACACCCGAAGAGTTGATGTCGTTTGGGTGAAAAAAAAAGCATGCATGTATTTGTGGGTTCAAAATTATTGTTAAATGTGTCAAAAAGGAGAGGAGCACTTTGAGATCGGATCAAATACATGTTGTCAAAACTTCTAAAGAATAGGTCAATTATGATAAGTGAAAGAAAAGTATAAAAACCTACCCAGATGTCTCACTTAGTATGCACAGTAACTACTGTAACTAGTAATAAGTCAAGCCAAGTTTCAATGGGTTAGATACAAAATTAAGAAT